GAGCTAAGAAAATGTTTATCTCCCTGAGCCTGGCCTTCATAATTCCATTCCATCACAGCTTAAGACCCAGGGTGGGTTGAGGGCTGCTGTCCCCAAACCAGGTGAATTCTGCAGTGAGTCGGCTTTCAGTTACCATCATCCCCAGCTAGCGTACTGGATGGGGATGGACCCAACACAAAAGCATCAATGCCATCGATAATGTTAGCGTGCTTTTTAAAATAGGTTTTTAATGGTGTCTGTTTTATTTTAGATTCCTTGAGCGAGCTGAAGCCAGGAAGGTGATGTGTCTCTTAAAATAAATAGATTATCACACACATCTGAAGGGCACCTTTTGTGGAAAGTGGGGCAGTGGACAAAGATGGTTCAGATCAAAGGTAGAGCTTCCCCTGAATTGAACTTGGCTCTTGGTGACTACCTGAGCGTATCCAGGGAGTCTTCTTATCAACAGCACAGAAGATCTGGGATTTTAAAAATTTACCTCCCTGTCTAACCTAGGGTTTTCTGATGCTCTTCCATCCAACTACTGCCCAGATCAGTACTTTGTGAGATCAGCCTAGAACAGCGTTTCTCAACCTTGGCAATTTTAAGACGTGTGGATTTCAACTCCCAGAATTCCCCAGCCAGCTGGGAAATTCTGGGAGTTGAGGTCCACATATCTTAAACTTGCCAACTTTGAGAAATACTGGCCTAGAAGCTAAAGGAAAATCTCCTTCAAGTTGGGCATAATTTCCAGGAACTTCACATACATTTAATTTATTATTACAGTTGGTTGCACAATCAGCCAGCTGCTTAGACTGGATTTGACATTTTTATCCACCTATCAAGTCCTTCCCAAGGACCTGGGTTGTTGTCATCATTATTATTATTATTAAAACGTCAGGGTGGTTTTCTTTGCAGCTAAACCAAAGTGGTTTGCAATTGACTTCTGATTTTTTAATTTTTTCCTTCCAGTCTACTTTATAGCCCCAGGATTCAAATTCATCTTTACCCGTAATTTTCCCTGAGTATTAGTGCAATTTGTTTTCTTTCTCTCATTCTTCATTATCATACAGACATTGTAAGGAAAAAAAATGCAACATGGGGAAAATATTACAGGATGGACGAGATGGCGCAGAGTTAAATCATTTTGAGCTCTGGGACGCTCGGAGCTTTGATCACATGGTCACAACCACTATCTTGACTTTTTTGACCGCCTAAGAGACCCCTGGGGATGCATACTAAGATGGAGAAGGTAGGCCTATCTTGACTACTCTCTCAGGTCTGACAGCTGGTCCTGCCCTGGGCTACAGTGTCATGGTTTAGCTCTCCATGATGTCCTGGAGACTTGAGCTAGATCATACTGAAAGACATCCTCTTCCAAGGGCGTTCAGAACTTTCTTCCTTATTTAATATCTTTATTTTTTGTAACAAAACAATCTTTACTCTTAAAAAAAAGCAACTTTAAAAATAAAAAACACAACTAAAAGAATTTTTTTTTTAAATCTGTCTTATATTTAACACTTATCAATAGTCACTGGTTTACTAATGAATTCACTCCTGTAATATGAACTGTACAAAATATGATGGCAAGATATCACACAGTTTCTGCCACAGTAACACATATCCTTTGACTGCATCCTCTGACTGGTAGAAAATACTGCCTTTTTCAGAACAGAGAGATCACACATTTCCGACAACCATTCCTTGACATTTGGAATGATATCACTTCTCCAACATCTAAATATAATTCTTTTTGCTACCCCCCATGTTTGATACAACCAAAATTCTTGATAAGCAGTCATATTCCAAAGCTTTGGTATATACGGTAATTCAACATTAACATCTTTAACATTTAAAGATTTTCCCATAAATCCAGTCATATACATTAATGCAGAATCCCCAGAAAACCTCTTTCCGGCAGGAGGGACGAAGAGGCTCCCTTACCTGTCATCAGGTGATACTTCAACAGGGTTTCCTTGATGAGGTCATAGGTCACCATCTCCCCACAGTTCACAATGGCATTGCGAGTGATGTTGGGGAAGGTCCCTGCCAATGATGGAAACAAATGGTCGATGTGGAGAATGAAGATTTCGGATTCCAAAATCTTCTCAGAAGCTTTAGGAAAATAACAGATGTGGACATGTACCTTTCCAGAGGCCTCGGACGCCTTCTTCCCGGGCGATCGTTCGATAAGCGTCCACTGTCCCGTTGTATTTCTTGGGACCCCCCACCAACCTGATGTGAGCTTGGAAGCGCACTTTCACCACGTCAGTAGGTTGGGCACAGGTCACTGCCATGGCGCCGGTGGTACAACCAGCAAGGAGGCGCGTGAAGATGCTGGTATCTGAGGTGTGGAGGGAGAGAGAGAGGAGACGTGAACTAGCCCAAGGGAGCCTCAGCTGCTGTAGAGGAGCACGGGGATGACTTTGGAGGAGAGACGCAGAAGCCGTTAGCAAAACACGAGCTTAGCCCCAGGAAAGCAGGAAGGCGTGAGAAAGAAACTCAAGAAGGTATAACAGGGAGGGAAGGGGAAACACACTTGGGCTCCCAGGATTCTGTTATCAGAGCCCATCATGATAAAACAGAGTTTGAGTATTTTCGGTGGACTCTTGTTCCCTGGCTTGGCCTACCAAGGAGGAAAGATGGTGGTGGTGGAATAATTAAGAAGTTAATTGAAAATAGAAGTCCCAGTGTACTGATGCTGTTACAGAAATCAGGGGTGAGACTGCATGCAGAATTGTGTTTTCAATTCATGTCATCCAGTCTCAGAATAATATCGCAGAAAAGGGCAACCAAAATGAACAGGGGGCTAAAGCAGGTCTTCCTGAGTATCCAGGACTTTTTAATGTAAAGTGAAGATGGGAAAGAGGAGACGTGGCAGCATTATGTGAAAGAATGCATGGTGGGAAAAATGTGGACAGAGGATTGTTTTTCCCTCTTGCACACATTATTAAACGTCAAGATCACCTGAGAAAGTTAAATATAGGGAGATTCAGGGCTGATAAAAAGAGGTAATGCAGAATTGAACCAGCAATGGAGGAAAAATGCCGTCTGTCCAATTTTTATACAAGCTTTCCCAAACTGTAAGTCTGCATCAGGCAACCCTTGAAAATACACACCAGTCTCCAGGCAGACATTTCTTGTTTATTTGCAAACTGACCTTCAAACAGGCAGAAATCAAACTGGGAAAGCAAGAATCTGAGCAGGCTTTCAAAGTGCTAAACTTACGTTCGGACCCCTTGGGCGTGTAAAGCTGCTTCACCGAGTCGTAGAGCCCGATGCGGACCGAGGCGAAGCTCATCTGGCGCTGGAGGCCGGCCACCAGGCCGTTGTAGAGGCTCTTCGGTCCTTCCATCTTCACCATGGTGGTGATGGTGCCGAAGACCCCCTTGTACTTCACCTGTCTGGCTGCTTTCGAAGCCCTCGATTCCCCTTGAATCTTCACGAGAAACAGAGATGGCTGGGCGTGAACGTCCTGGCACTGGGCTAAACCGTAGCTTGTTCAATAAGCCACCATGCTTGGATTCACGCAACACATTGAGCCATAAAAGAGGGTTGAGACATCACAATAGCTGGGTATACGCAACACTGTAAGCCGCCCAGAGTCACCCTCTGGGGGAGATGGGCAGCATATAATTTAATAAATAAATAAAATAAATAAACAAACATGCCGAGCCAAAAAAAAAAAAAAAACAGAACAAAACACATTTTGCACAGCACACAGCCTGACACACAACTGGAATCTAAGTCTATCAGCCAGAGGCATCCACTAGCTGTCAGAAGAGTGGATCCCTGCCCTGGGCAGGGTTTGGACTAGTTGACCTCCAAATTCCCTTGTATGATTCTACAATTCATTGCCCTTCCTCGATGGCCTGGCTCTTTCTCCCCCTCAGCAGTGGCCCTCTTCTGAACAGGACCCACCTGGAGCCTGACTTTTGCGGTGTCCAAGGGGAACGTGCAGAGATCCGCGATGCAGGCGGCTGTCCCGGCGCTGAGAAACTTGACGGGTGCTGATGGCGGGATATCCGTGGGCTTCAGACCAACCATCCTGTCTCGCCCACTACAGAGCCTCCCCTGGGTGCTCCTTTTGGTATACATACAACGGGGGACGGCTGTGTGTGGAAACAGCTTCGCCCTTTATGGAATGAACGAACCTGGGAGGAAAAAATGACACTTATCACAACGACCACCAGGGTTACTACTATTGCTATCATTTACGCTGGACCGAAATCTAATCGAAACCGTTTATCCGTGTGGGCAGAACCGAGAGGAAGATACAAAGCAGTGGCTGCTGAGTAACGGTGTGGATCTGTCCAATATCGTTGTAGAGGAGCTCAGAGAGGACCCCACGAAAAACATGCAGCATGTGTTAGTCAAACATGAGCTTAACCCCAGGAAAACAGGAAGGCGTGAGAAAGAAACTCAAGATGGCCTTGCCTTGATTCTCTTTGGCAGAAGAGGGAGGGAAGGCAAAATGCAGTTAGGCGTTCAAGGTTCTGTAATTATATCCCACATCAATAAAGTAGAGTTCTAGTATTTCCAGTGGTGTCTCTTTTCTAACCTGGCCTACCTTGGAGGGCTGACAATTGTCTACTCTCTGGAAGCAACATAGACGCCAACACAGACACTCTTTTGCCATGCTTCCCTCCCATCCTGGAACTGTCAGGAAATGGTGCTATGCTAAATCTTGCTGTTCCACCCCCCCAGTGCACCCCTACTGAGCACCCATGGTTCTGGGCTGCCCTGCTCTCCATACAAGGCTCACCCCCAACATTCTGGGGGTCTTGGTAGTTCTTGCCTGCCCCCTAGTGGCCATCTGGATCTGTGCATCCCAGATCCGGCTTCTGCATAAATGCGGTTGAAGAGCTGGGCTTTGAGGAAGGGGTTTGGCTGCAGCGATTGGTGAGGGAGCTGCAAAGGGTCCTAAGGACAGAGCATGTGGGGAAGAAGCCAGGACCCATCACCATCAGGCAGGGAATTTGCAGGTTACAGAAGTGCAAGACTTTAGGGGGGTCCACAGAGTGTAGTCAAAAAAGTCAAGGCGGTGCGATCAAAGCATTTGTTTTTATGCACCTTAAGTCTCTGCATCTGTTTCATTTCATCCATTCCACCCGCAGCAAACTACTGGCTATGAAAATGGTCTGGGGGGTGGGTGGGCGTAAGCTAGGAAAACATACTTCTTTTGCAGGCAGAACCTGCATCATCATGATCATCAATTAAAAGAGAGCCAGTTTGGTCTGGTGGTGAAGGCACCAGGCTAGAAATAGAGAGATGGTGAGTTCTAGTCCCGCCTTAGGCACGAAGCCAGCCGGGTGCCCTCGGCCAGTCCCTCTCGCTCAGCCCAGGAAGAAGCAGGGAAACGCAAGCCACTTCCAAAACCTTGCCAAGAAAACTGCAGGGACTGGTGCAGGCGGTCGCCAGGAGTCAAGCACCAAGTGAAGGCACCAAGGGGAAAAAATATTAAATTTATATGCTGCCCAACTCCTAGTGACTCTGGGCGGTTTGCAATTGTTAAAACTTTTAAGAACAACGAACAGTTCCAAAACCCCCCAAAACAGCAGACAGACACACAACTACCAGCCTAAATCCCTCTGCCATGGTGGGGTGTTGCTGCCTCATTCCTGCCTCCCGTCTCCAGCCCCCTCAAGCCTGCCACCCTTCCAGAGTGCTTCACTACAGCTCCCACCGTTGAGCTGCACCGGGGGAGATGATGGAAGTTACCACCCAGCGCATGTGAAGGATGCCCAAACAACTGGCCGTTGCCTCGTCCACCTCTCCAGATGACTCTTTCCCAGTTAGAGAGTGGGAACCAAGTTAGTGGAATACAAGAATATCGCTTTAAGAAATTAATAGCCAGGGCTGCTTCTGAAGGAAATATTCCTCCAGGTATTGTTACTATCTCTAATCCTAACTCTGAGGATGGAGTCTTTCCATAGGCAATTTTCTGTAACCAGGATCACCCTTGAAAGAAAACCACAAAGAAAAAGGTTGTTTGGCTTGTCCAAAGCCACAAAACTCCCACCTTATATAGTAAACAGAGTGCCTTATTTCCAAGGCTTTGGGGACATAGCAGGTAGCAATCAGAGGCATAGAGTCTACTGGAGTTGGGCAGCCAATACATTTAAATAAATAAATATCCTAAAATTCTCCACTTCCAGAGTAAGATCCTTGGAGTTCAATGGGACATCCCAGATCAGAAGGGTCTAGAATTGCAGCTGTAAATTGTGTTAATTTCCTGGAGAGCAAGACTTAAGGAACTCAGGGGCTGCATTCACACAATAAACGTCCTTGGTTTATTTATTGATTTACCAAATTGATATAGCTGCCTATCTCACATAGGTGACTCTGGGTGGTGCACACAATTGAAACAAAACCATGAAAACAGTTCAAAAAGCATAAATATAAACAAAGCCACCCACTTTCAGGGTTTAACTCCATGACCATCAGAATTTGAGAGTTGCAATTGGGGAAAGAGAGAAGAGTCGGGAGGGTCCTAAAATATGAACCTGCATTATAAAATATGTCCCGCCTTCTGCCTTAATAAACAAGCAGTAAAAAGAGAGTTTTTACCTGGCCTTGAAGAATTGCCTCTCCAAATTCTCAGACTGGTATCCACCCCCCGCGGCTTGGAGGATCTTCCTGCAAAAACGAGGTATTTAGATGGTGCAAATGAATGGTTCATCCATCAACTGTTTGGGCAGCAGTCCTGCTCTCTGGCTCAAACACAGGTTGGGACTCTCTTTGTCGTCATGTCCAGATGCTCCTTTATAAACTCAGCCAGGCTGGCATTTCCACAGGATGCCGACAGATGAAGATACAGATCATATGGCGGGTCAGCCAGTGCGAGAACAGGAATGACCCCAACCCGCTCAGTCCGTTGGCCAAAAATAGTGCTGGGATACGTCATTCGGGAAGTATCTGTACCCAGGGATATTTTCCCCCCCGTATGCGTTCTACGGAGGATGCAATTACTCCCCCCGTCCTAAATCCTGAAAAACGGCTTTTGAATGTGTTTGTTGAGAGTAGCTAGATGCTGTCCAGATTTATTGGACTACAGCACCCATGCGCTGAAAGAGTCTGGAAGTGTCTTTTCCGACAACACATTTTAGGAAAAGGCACCTTACTTCATCCGATGCATAGGGCGGCTAGACTGATGTGGGATTTAAATTGGGGTAACCAACCTGTCTTTTACCCTTCCACCTCTCCCCAGTTTAAATCTAGTTCCTCCATGCATCTGATCACAAAATCTGATACCTCTAAATAAAATTTGTTATTGGAAAAGATTTGAATAAAATTCATTATTGGAAAAGTTTAAGGAAAATGCCTTACTCTCAGACAGGCTCAACCATACTTTCAACTGGGAAACTGTGAGCGTCTTAGACCAAGTTAAACCCCAAAATGCTAGGAAATTCTTGGAAGCCTGGCATTCAGACAAATCAGCCATCAATAGACACATAGAGATAAACCCCATTTACACACCATTCAAAAGAAATCATAAAAAAGTTAAGAAGGAAACAATAAATCCTTGCCAGCAGCCAGCACCCAGATAAGCAGGGATTAACACCAGACAAACAATCAAGTAGAAAACAATACCCTACCAAGGAGAAAACCTCACCCCCACCAACACTGGCAGGGCAAGCTACTGTATATAAACAGGCAGCAAACCCCACATTCACTAGCACTGATGATGTTATCTAGTTGGGTCGTGCAACGTCTCAAGCAAACCACCCAGCTCAGAGAGCACCAAGGACCCCACAAGAAAAGATCCTACCAGACTCCTGGTTTTTGAATACCATAGACCAGTGC